TACAATAAAGTAAAAAAAAAAACTAACGAAATACTTTAGAAATATATACATATCGCAAATAGGGCTAAAATAGGGCTAAAATAGATACCAAGAGATATTATTGATACAATCGTGTATCATCATTCAATTTGCATCATCGCTATTAGGTTAACGGTGCGTGGAGTTTACGAGGCAATTATAGAAATGCAACGCAGCCCGCCGACGTGGCGGCCGCGCCAAGCGGGTTTGGAGTGTTTGGAGCAGGCCATCTCGCTTAACGTGAACCACGTGTGTGTGATTTCGCGCGCGCGGGACGTGCGACCTCCAAGCCATGTTTCGCAAATCGCGAGCGGATGAGACGAATAGTGTGAGTGCCTAGAAGAGAGCGTTGCCCGACGAGTGAATGCACCAGAATGCACACGCATGTACATGAAAGAAGGGATGCGCGTCGTCTCGTGGGATTCGCGCCGTTTTGTGGCAACGTTCCGAGACGTCTCAGAGGCGATTCGCGTGAGCGACGCCGAGCGACGCCGAACGACGCCAGGCGACGCAGCCGCCGATGCCGCGGTCCGCGAACATATCGTTCGCGAGGATACGCGACGTTCAACCGCGACGAGGAAACCTGGGTCGATCGCCATCGTACGTCCGTGGAAAGAGAGCAAGATATCGCCTCGGCAAACATGGCCGTGTGGCAATGGCTTTTTTGGCGTCGCGAAGGCGCTGGCTCGCGCGGAGAAACACACGACGCGGCCGCGAAATCGACGTTAAATCGCGAACGTGGGCGCACGACCATGCCGCGTATCGGGCTGATGTTTGATAATTTGTGAACTTACATTGGATATTTTCGTGGGCACTTTCCCAATTGGTCGACGAATTGAGGACCAATGGTCGGCGAAAGACCGTTCTCAGCTCTTGTGTATTGGTGGCACTGAAAGATGTGAACTGCCAGTCCGATGGCAGTCCGATCCAAGACCGGTCGATGCCCCTCCGCGCCTCTATGCGGACCGCCAATCGAGTTACGCGTCTCATCCCTCTCCCTTCAGGCGCGCGATTTAAACTACATTATACATTGTATCACTTTTCGATAATTCTTCTTATTAATTTGTCTTAAAGGATAAATTCTCTCCTGTTTCTTTCTGATAACTCATTATTTACAAATTTGTTTATACCATAGTATTACAGAACTAATATTGTACAATTTTTCATAGTTTGTTAATATTACTTAGAATATTTAAAACAATTTTAAGTTCAAATCTTACATTCGGATTTGGAGATATAGCAGGATACTTTGACTTAAATTTAGGAAAATAATTCAGTGAAAGAAAAACAATAAACAAAGAACTGTTTACAATAAATACAATACGGTGTTTTTATTCGACTTTCTTTTCTTCCTATTTGGACTATTATAACGATTGAATATTTCTCATAAGATTAACAATAAAATCGAGACCAATGTAAAACCAACACACAATTTCATAGTTTTTATTGCTCAAATTTTCAATCGAACAATTTTAAATTCAAATTTTTAAAAAATTCGGATCTGATGAGAAAGATGTGTAACAAAATATTTTAATTCTGAATTTAAAGGAATAGTAAAGAAAAATTAAACTACGTACCTATTGTGAAAGTAATTAAAGAATTTTCTGTTTACAATTAATTACAGTACTGTTTCCCTACAGCACGAAGTTGCACAAAAGTTGTAGCAATATTACAAAGATTTTGTATCGATATTGCAGTAAATTTTGTGCTGTTGGATTTTTTATTTTCTTTTCTATTTAAACAATAAATCGAACAAAAAAAATATATATATATATCTATATTTGAATTTTCCTTAATAAAAACAATACAATTTTATCTGTTTAAAAATACATACACTCACACAAACACCTGCGTGCGTGCATATACAAAGTAAAAATGTTTTCTAGCAGTAACTTATCGTCTTGGACTACAATTAGAGTTAAAAGTTCTAAAGAGGCTTGAAAAAGTACAAAAGAATTTCAGAGGCTTGAAAAAATACAAAAGAATAATATATCGAAAGAAATGTTTCTCATTCTTCTTAATTTTGTATTAATTATACATCTATTTCTATATAAATATTTATATTAATACTAATTACAAGTTAGTTGATATTTGTCACACTTATATTTATCACTGCAAAATAGAAAAATTTTTATTATTTATAAATAATTATAAGTTACATTATGAAATACCTTACATAATTTAATATTGTCATTCAAAATCCTTTATAAATTCCTTGCAATTTTTGAAGGCAATAAATTTGTATTAAATCTTTCTTTACAATAGTAAAAGAATTATAATAATAATTACAAAATCATAGTTATATAAGATTCGATTGAATTTATTGAACAATGATAAAATAGTATTCTTTTTCTTACTTTTATCTGAAGATATGTATATACGAAGCGTCCTGCTATTATTGCATAAATTAGCACATTCTTTGGTCACTTTGAAATCGATTTTTCTTTTGAAAAATGTTCAGATAGTGATAGTCGAAAAATTATAATTAACAGCTAATAATTAACAATTTAAAAGCAAAAATCTCATTTTATAAATTAAATTTCAAGGGTGCAAATAAATAGCAAAATTATATTTATCAATTCATTTTGAATAAACTTTATTTTCATAAAATTTGTATTTAATATCATATTTTATTAAAGATATAATGTGGAAGAGAGGCAAGTTGAAAAATCTCACTCGATATTTTTCCTAGAAAAACAACAGATTCACAATTGGCCAAAAAATATGCTATTAAGGCCCAGTTTTACAACTCACGATTAACTCTTAACCGAGGTTCAACTTATTTCTCATCTTTCTCCAATTCTAGAATTGAAAAGAGATAATGAATAAATTGAACCCCTCGCGCGGTTAAGAGTTAACCATCAGTTGTGTGAAACTGGGCCTAAGTGTTTGCGTGGGATAGTGACAGGATACTCTGTGTGTGTGTGCGCGTGCGCGCGCGCGTGTGTGTGTACTTATCGATAAATATTACAATAACAAATTAATTTTTTACATAAAAATTTCACATAGATAAAAGATAATGGCGCACATCTTAATAATACTAAACTTTAAAATAAAAGAGAGAACTGTATATCTATTTAACAATCGTGAAACTATTAGTACATAGCAAGCATAAACAGCAGTAATAATTCAACATTCTGTATAATACATTACAATTGATCTTTTGTTTCAACATAAGCTAGAATTGTAACTCGGACTTAGGTCGATATATTTCCGACGTATCCTTTTTTACAATGTTAAAATTCCAGTCAAATGAGATGAAATTATAAATTAATTTGACGAATATTCAACGATCACGATAGAAACGGAACCACCAAATCCTCCTTGTGTTCGACTTTTACATCGCCTAATGCTGTCACAGCCTTGTTGAGCATTTCTGTAATCTGTACGTTTAATATATGTATTACTTTCATTGTCGACAAACTTAGTGCTCTCATAATGAAGAAAATACGAGAAAGATGAAGCAAAGTATTTACCAATTCTTGGTCTTCAGCAGCAAGTGGATCAGCAGCTAATGTTCGTTCTGGAGCAGGTATATCCTTAAGTAGGCAAGATGCATCCTCAGGAAATTTAATTCGACCCGATTCTATTCTCTTTGAGTACGCACGAGATCTGTCCATATATTCATGTTGTTCTAGATTATGAGTGTCTAACGCACCCACGTCAATAACATTGCTGAAAAAAAAAAAACCTTAATATTAACTTACAATTTTTAGAGTAATTTATTTTATAATATTTTCTACTGGGAAAACTAATAAAATTGTATTATACCATGAAGGTTATTTATAATGGAGTCAAAACTACTTTTTTCTCACTAACTGCAGTTTAACTTCTTTCCTTCTGAATATTGTATATTCACTTTTATGTGATATTTTTTTTTAATATTCAGTGTAAATTTATGACGAAATATAAAAACAGCGTTAAAAGATTAAAAACGAAATTTTTATAGACAAAATTATATCTTCAAAGCACAAATTAATATGTAATACGAATCATATAAAAGAAATCAAAGTACAAGAAAAAATTTACTCACGCTGCAGTTTCATGTAAAATTCTGTTCAACGCACTCTGTTCATCTGTCTTCTTAGGCACGGAACTTGCATATTGGTTAACGTAATCGTCACTGAAAAGAAGAAGACAAAAGATATATTATCATCTTACTTAAGAGAGCTCGAAATATTATGTCGAACACAAAAATGTCTGTGCTTGATAAACACATAAAATAACTCACCTATGAACTCTCGGTACGTTTGTATTATTACTGACAGGATCTACCAGCAAATGTGTTCTTTCATTCGCTTCTCCACCCTGCAAATAACAAGCATTGTAATAGATATTTAAAATATACAAAAATTTTTAAATTTTTGTTACTCTCTTTCTATTATTATAACTTCTTTATCATTACAACACAAATATATGTGATGTGTTCATCAAGCGTTATCACTATCGTCGAGTAGGCGTATTAACTGCGACAATTGTCACGTATCGGTGATAAGGAAGAAAATGTTGAAAGTGCAGTAAAACCGTTTTCGCAGTCATTTTACCTGCGGCCCGCTGTCCTCTTTACAAAAGCTGTAGCAGCATCCCATGTTTAAACGGAATCCCACCAATGTGACCTTTCTCTACGAGCAAAGTATATCCGTTATTGCAAACGATCGTTCATTTTTCCGTTCCGGTAAACAATCAGGTGAATCAGCTGTGTCGCCGCAAAATTCTACGTATATACATACACAAACATAACTTTATAAATAAACGCTGTTTCAGCAAGGCGCATGCAATTAACTGACACGAAAACGACGAAAACTCGGGAACGAGATGAAACCGGGTACATGCAACGTCTCTAGTGGAACTCGCCCTGTACTATTTGAAAACATAACCTTGTTCCTGTTGACATCATAGCACTCGCGACTCATTGCAACGATATACAAGAATCGATATTAAATTTCCTTCAGCGGAATTAACTGAGAAAGCTGATATTTATGTCGGTATCAATTTTTTTAATTTCGCTACTTTGATAGATACACATATTACAGTCGCTATCATGTCAGGTACAAAGGTAAGTTCAAGATCGATAATAATATATTTACGTATAATCATGTCTACATGATAAATAAAGTTTACCAGTTTACTGTAGATGTTTTCTTTTTGTTTTAGGAAGTAACAGAGCTGCAAGCGTTTAAAACAGTCTTTTTTCACAGTGTGGTGATACTCGCGCTACCTGTGGTCGCTTTCTTTACAAGCAAAATTTTTCTCTTTGATGGTACGAAACATATATATATATATATATATATATATATAAGAAAATTGCAATGAACGCCGTAGCAAGTTTACAAAGAAATAACTATCAAAAAGAATCATTTTTCCATATATTTCTTTTTTGTGGAATCTGGATTATATTTTAGAATATTTTGTTTTCTTCAATGGCTTAACTAATGAAAATTTTGTTTTATTTATGTTATAGGTATATTAGGTCTCAACACAGTATCAAGTAATGTGTATTCGGCTGGCATTGCAGTAATAGTGTTACACATTGCCTTAGGAATTTTTATATATAGAGCATACTTTGATGATCGATCAAGAACACCAGCAGTTAAGAGAGATTAGTTTTTTATTATTAAGTACACCTTGGTGATCATACACTTATGACATAATCACAATCAACACATTTGTCTCGGATAATATTAAGTGGCATTGTAAAGTAAAACTTTTATGTGTTGTCACAAGAGTCAACGATACTTTTTTCTTTAATTTTACTCTAGTCAGTAATCGGTTGAAAGCCATTTGCAATTTGCCAAAATTAACAATTAATGCTATCTGTGCAATGTAATTTATATAAAAATGAAATTTTACAAAGCAACTTACATTCCACAACTTCAAACGTTACATATATGCATTACATATTCCCAGTATACTGTTTGATGTCCGTACAAACGTTAAAATATTTTGAATTTTCACGTACAAATAAATGTACGGTGAATTAGAATGAATTTATAGTGTATAAAATTTTTTAGTAAAACAGATTTTTTCTTGAAACAGATATTTTTATCTATACAATTTTCTTTTATAAAACGTAAGTAACAATGGCAACATAAAATTTTAGTGATTTTTATTTGTTTATTGAAGATAGACGCCCATATTCCCTTCTTTATATGTAAAGGTTTTTAAATTTATGATGATTGCATACTATTTATTTTAAATTTTATTCAAAGGTATTCCAAAACTCAACTGTCAACTCCCTTTATCCTTGTTCAACATTCAGTGAACAACAAAAGAATAAAATTATACTTGAGTTAACAGAGTCAAGTTTTGGAACGCATCCCATATTTATAAAAAGAGAGAAACATTTTTCGAAACCTTTTAGCTTACCACAAATAGACTAAACAAACACGTAATTATTAATATAGAACAAATATTAATTCATACAACTCAACTAATTGCATTGTGGCAAAAAAAAAACGTTATTTGATTCTTTTATTTGGAACAACAAAATTTGGAATAGCAAACAATTTTTTTTCAAACATGAATTGTCGAATAAAAATGTGACAATATACGTTTCTACAGAAAGTTGAATGAAGCTTGTTAAATGATATCTGATTCATATCTCAATAAGACAATATTCAACATCAACTAATTGCAGATATATAGACGAAAAATAAATGTGACGATTCATCTGTTATAAACATAAAAGTGTATATAAATATAATGTGACGGTGTGAAATGTATAAATAAAAGAAAAGAAAACGCATTACATACATGGTGAAAATTTTTATCATTCAAAAAAAGGAAAATATTTTTAACACTCATTTTTTACATCTTGCTAATAGTAACTATTATATATATATATATATGTAATAATTTGCGATTCTTAAGTGCTAGCGATGTGGGAACGACGTTAGGCATAAGAATGAAATATGGACCACCTATCTTGCTTATTCTAGGAACAACTTAATAATTTTTGTGAATCTTCTGTCCTGCAAATATAGCAATATAAATATCGTGAGAGATAAACATATTATGTCATTGTGTAGATGCCTACAAGTTATGTACAATGATATATCTAGTTGAATTAGAATTCTTTAGGAAATGAAATTTTTGCACCAAAAACGATTCAAGTCCAATTAAAAAAGAAATTGCAATAAATTCTTGTAACATCTTTGTAGATGTGTTAATCCAAAAATTAAAGCAAACTTAGCACAATTTCAATTAGCGAAATATTAATTTATTTAAATATCATAAATGCAGCAAAAAATGTGACAGAGTATTTACTGTCGACTATGCTGGAATGAACAATTGTATTATCAAATACGCAAGATCGCCAGCGAAATTATCTAGTTCATAATTTAATTTAGTCAATTATATCTAACTTAATTTTGTGCAAATTAATGTGAACAAGAAGTAATTGTTAGGTTCAGAAACATTTATTACATAAAAATAATTTACAGTATTTATTACAATATTTTTTTATAAATACTAAAATATTACAATAAATACTGTAAATCCTTTTTATGTAATAGATGTTACGTAATAAATTTAAAAATTACCTGTTGTTCACATTAATTTATACAAAATTGCAACACTCGCTCTATACATTAAAAGTCACAATTTTTTCTACTGGCAATAGTTTTCAAAATCCTTTTGAAATATTTATTCTGTATAGTTCAATTATGTGCACTTAGAAACATATTAAAAACTTAAAAAGGAAAAACAATTTTCTTCTTTATAAAAAAGCTTCAATAATTCGCGATTATGTTTCTCCAAAATTTATTCAGATTATAATTATTTTTATAATAATATATATTACGAATGCCAACGAGCTGCTTTTAAGCAAAAGAATATTTTTTTCACATGTTACATGAATTCACAAATTTACATCATCTCTTTAGTTTCTGCGTAACACGCTTATGCTGATGATAGTATGTATATATGTCATTAAATAGCTTAATTTGAGATTAATAAATGTTACGAAGAAAAAAGATAAACAATGAAACAGAAAAAAATTGTATGTGCAAGACTACAACATGTCAAGCGTTTTCGAGACATGATTTATCCAAATGAAATACTTCCTATTTCAATTATAGTAGATTTAACATTAATAAAAACACATAAGTTGCGGCGACCGTTACTCAACATCCATTTTTTCTTCTTCTGTTCGTTGCTGCTGCTGTTGATTAGACTGACTGTGATTATTACCTTGGGCATTTTGATTTTGATTATTTTTCTGTTCATCAGCAGATTTATCTTTTGGTTTTTCTTCCTTTGGCGGTTCTACTTTAGGTTTAGGCTTATTGAGAATAGGTAGTACCACACTATCCATTGCCTAAATAACGAAAAAATAAATACAATAAAAGAAAATTGTTTATGATTACAGCTGATTTTTTTTCAATACTTACTTGTTTCTCGGCCCGAATCTGTGCTACAGTAACTGGTGGCTGTTGCGTGCGAAGTGTACTCGCAAGTAGAATACGTTTCTCCTCTAACCATGTCCATTTCTCTTGCACAGTTTTCTCAACTGTTTTCACTTCTTCCTCCGTTAAATGAGAATACTTGTCATCCTTTCCATTCAACATTTTTATTTGATCCAGACTTTTCTTAGCCAGTTGTAATGCCACTCCCAATTCTTCTAATGCGTACGACCTCCCTTCAAATTCGAATCTCCTTTCCTTTATTGGTTCTCCCTGAGACTAATAAAATGAAAACGGGGGCGTTTAGAAATTCTATTTCATAAAGGCAAGAATTATTAAAAAATAAAAAACTTGGAAAACTTGTATAAGATATTATTATGACCGAGCGAAGATCCTCTCGTTATTGTCCGTATATGAAGTATGAAGTAAAAACCGATTCCTAATGACGCGCTGTTCTTTGAGTAACAGCGATTCCATGACAAAATTCGTGCGAGTCATTTCAGGCATTAAACTCGCGCCTGTGTATCTCTTTTAATTATTGTATAATAAATCTAAGCGTTGCGTTTTCTAAACGGAGTTATTTATTGCACGTAAATCTCCCGTCAGCGCGAGTGTCCGCAAGAGCTCACAAAACGTACGAGCGGATCCAATGGACATAAGATTATAAATTGATGATTAATATTTTATCAAATAATACCTTCAAACGCGTCAATCGCTCTGAATAAATTTGTCGTTGACAATCTTCTCCTTCTTCATAAAGCCAATTTTCAGTATCGTCTAATGTACGACACAATGTTTCTTTATCTATTTCTGTAATGAATGTAGCTAATTGATCCTCTTCGGACAATTTAGCACGCAGATCATAAACATATTCTTCCAAGGCATTACGCGCGTCAACTCGTTCTTTTTCCTGTTTATCTTCAGCAATCATTTTGCCCTGTTCATGAACAAAATGCATGTAATTATATAATGATTCGATGTTACACCGACAAATTTTTTTCGCTATAATTGTAGATAAAATTATGCAACGTTCATAAAAGTTACGTAATGCTTGAGATATATCTTGAACGATACATACTTCTTTTTCTACTGCAGCATCAAGATCTCGAAGGGATAATCCGCAAACATTAGCTTCAATAGGTAAATCAATTGTACGAATGGGAATCTTTTTTTTACCTTTATCGTCGTTTTTATCGTCTCCCTAAAACAAAAAAAATTTGCTAAATATTTATCAATATATTTTGTTCGGTACTGTATTTTTTGCATGAACCCATAAAAAAATCGTTTACAAGAAAGTTTATTACTTGATATTTTTCACAATTTCTTATTTAATAAGATTTAAAAAATAGACGCACAATGTGAAAACAGATATGCTTACATAAATTGAGAAATTTCATCTGCATAAACACTTACCTTATTTTACAATACTTTCTTGAAACGCTTTTTTGTTTTTAATGTGATTTTACATCTTTGTGTGTATGTGTTTCTAATGTAAGAATGCGAAATCAAGTAAATTAAAAATTTTAGAAAAACTAAAATGGAATTCAGGTGATGATAAAGATGAGACAAGGATAATGGGGTATACACTTTCGTGTGTAGTTTAGAATCCGTATAGTATCGTTTCACATAACAAAAATATAGTATAAAGTAAGTTTATATAATCTATACATTTCGTACCCATATAATGTATTAAATTGCTTTTTTTTTCTTTCTATACGAATTGAAAACTAATCAGTGTTGCCTGCCTTTATACTTTACAAATATTTGTATGCTTTTATTAGATATCACTGTCTCTTCCTTCTGCGACCCAGTGTATAGAATAGCAGAGTAAAGACAGACAGCACAGCTGTAACACAGCTGTTCTTGGACCCATATGCATTACAAAAAAAAATGAATTGTTAAAGGCTATTATATACTGTGATTAATAAAAGAGCAAGCTCAATTTTTTTCTAGATTTTTATAGTGCCGTTGAATAGTCGAGTTTGCAGAAGAAATCGACACAGGATCTAAAACATGAGCTTAAGCCAAACGCGTCATGCATTTAATATCAATCTACAGGTTTAGCTTATAAAATACAATACATAAAACTGTTTGTTATCTATGCATATACTAATAGAAAAAGTTAAGATGCATAAAAAACAATACAAAAATAACAAACATTTCTAAATCCTAAGATATAAATGCATTATAAATTAAAGATATCAAGGATATTTTGATAAATTTCTCTCAAAATTATTTTATAGAAAAAATAAGGAATTACTCAATCAAAGCAATTGATCAAAAAATAAAATGTGCGAGAATGCGTTTAATGTTGTCAAATTAATGACAAGTATATCGCTTGCATTATATAAGGCGATTATTGCAATTGTTGTGCATTCATTGTTATGGTGACGGGGTTAGTCTAATTTCTGTTTCAAAATAAGCGATAAAGCTAGCATGATGGAAAGAATACTCAAGTTAATTGGCCCTAAATACAAAAAAATGCTCGTAAAAACTCACAACAAAGCAACGATTAAGAGATTAGAGAATTTATCGCACACATGTCTCAATATAGATGTATGCGTATGGGTCCAAGTAAGAG